GTAGTACTCTCTCTCTCTCTCTCTCTCTCTCTCTCTCTCTCTCTCTCTCTCCACAACCACTTTTCATCAGCACTCGCCAAATTCTTATCCTACCTATGCCCTCTTCCCATTTTTGCAATACAACCCAACCCAAGGAATTCTTCCATTCTATCTTCCCTCTCTAAATCCTCCATTGAAACTCAAAACTACTATGACACCAATGATGATGCATGGGCTTCGACCCCCAGCAAAGAAATGCTTTTGTTTAAACCCCTTTCTCTCTCGACGTTCACTTTTCACAGACATTCAACAGTCTCTCTCTCTTCATACCTGGTCCCTTAATCCCAATGTTCACACCGATAAAATAGACCTAAATTAATACAAGGTGACCCCTCCTCTCACTCGCTGGCCTCTAAAACTCTCATCCAAGAGGCTCATAAACATGATGAGTCAACAACAAAATGTGGACCTAGCCTTACAATTCTTCGACTATGCTGGGAAATATTACCCCAATTTCTCGCATAATGCTGACTCTTATCACACAATCATTGAGAAATTAGCCAAGCCTAGGGATCTCAATTCCATGGAAATTATTCTAAAAGGGTTGAAGGATTTGAGATTCAATGCAGTGAAAAAACATTCATAGTTATCATTTCGAACTATGGCTTTGCAAACAAGCCCAAAATGGCCCTTCGATCCTTTTTCAGGATGAATGAGTTTGGGATATACAAGTCAGTTAGGTCTTTTAACTCTCTTTTGAATGCAATGATTCAGATCAAAAGGTTTGATTTAGATCACACAGTGTATAAGAACTGCAGGAAATTTGGGATATTTCCTAATGTTTTTATCCACAAGATCTTAATCAAGGCTTTGTGTCAACTGAGTGACTTGGAATTGGCTTTTAAGGTTTTGAAGGAGATGCCAAGCCAGGATTTTGTTCCAAATCCTGTAACTTACACTACAATATTGAGTGGCTTTAGTGCTCGTGGTAATTTGATCCAAGCAAAAATGATTTTTGATGAGATTATAAGCAATGGTTGGGTCCCTGACCCTGTTACTTACATAGTTATGATTGATGGGTTCTGTAGGAAAGGGAGATTGATGGAGGATGTTAAACTCATGGATGATATAGAGAAAATTGGGGTTCTTCCAAATGATATCACTTATGGTGAGGTCATTGAATCTTATTGTAAAGAGGGGCGATCAGGCGAGGCTTTAAGCCTTTGTAATGAAATGCTCGAGAAGAAATTTATACCATGCCCAACCTTGTGTTGCAAAATTGTTGACCTTCTATGTCAAGAAGGCAACGTTGATGAGGCTTGTGCGGTATAGAAGAAGCTCTTGAAGAGGAATTACACCCCAGATAATGCTATATATAGTACACTCATATATAGACTTTGTAAGGGTGGGAAACTTAAAGAGGTGAGGAACCTTTTTGATAAGTTTGAGAAAGGGTTTTTGCCAAGTATTTTCATGGCAACTGAAATAGGGCCTATAGGAATCTTGTGTAGCATGCAGTTTGGCTTAGTACATGCTTCCATTATCTCTCTCCTCTCCCCCCCCTTGCATTCTTTAAGGTTTCTCTCTCTCTCTTTGATTTTGAATAATGATAAGCACGTTGGATTGTTATCTCTCCATCTCTTCGCAATGCAGTCAAGTCTCTGAAAAGTTTTCCAAAACTCATTGAAGTTACAAATTTTATTGTATTAGTCCATGAAACTCTTTAAAGTTACAAATGTTATTTGAAAGTACTAGGAAAAGTTCTTTAATTTGTAACTTTTAATCTTCATGTAATTTTAGTTTGTAGAATCTTGTATTACAAATCTAAGAACTTCAACAACTAAAATTTTTGCCCAAAGGATTTTTTTTATTTAATCCATTCAATAAAAACTACGGATGTGACTGAAAAATGTTGTTTGGGTGGTTTAATACCCCCAAACCCTTTCCCCCATTTTCAAAGGTCAAAATGACCTTATTGTCCCTGCCTAAGGGGTACAGTTTTGAAAAAATGGTGAACAGATTATGCGGCATGATGTAGTTGATGCGGGATGCGGCTTTGATACGGCGAGAAAATGTGATGCACTACGTGGGTCATAGCTCCTGATGCGACCGCATTTTAAAATAACAAACATGCAAATTTAAAACGATGCAATTATGTTTTACAGTGAAGTGTTAATACCTGAATAAAAGGAATCCCATATTGCATCTAATTTCCTTATAGGAAAATCTTTTATAGAAATTAATACCAATGAGCAAACACCCATCTCTGAGCACATCCAAAACATCAGTGGGGTGCTGAAAATAAGAACCTTCCACATGGCTTCCAGAAGTCCATGTGAAGAAACACTGATACTACACAAGGTTTAATATTTAAACAGGAAAGAACATATTTCATGACTCCATATACAAAAGCACCATAAATCCATTCTTTGAAGTCAGATAAGGAAAAAATATCACATGAAAATAATACAAACTGAACTAAAAGACACTCTATTGCTCAAGACAATGTATAAAATTACTTTTGGAAAGAATATATACAAAATAAACATTATAACAGAAACCAAAAAATTTGATACACAACATTGCTTAAGAACTTGACAAAAATCAATTATTTCCATTGACTGAGAGCTCACTAATCACCTTCAATGATCAGCTGAATCAGAAGAACCAATAGGCTTTAGAGATTTAGTATATATGCGACATCCAGTTTCACCTCATTGATATAGCATCAAAATTCAAACCCGTGATAGTTATAAGTGCATTTGTGTCAATGGAGAATTGCAGCCTTATATGGGCAAATAAGTGTAAGAGCATCTCAATTGTAGGCAAACAATTAAGAAGCACACTCCAAAATTCTTCCAAGTGAACATTTCCACCTTTCTCTTTCACTGATAACTTTGTCCACAAACTAACCCCATGAATCCAAATCAAGAAGAAAACCACGACTAGTCGTTGCCACAAGTAACTTCATAATCCGATCCCTTGACCAATGAAACTCATCCATTAAAATGGCATAACCCATCCTTCTTTGGAGGAAGATAGCCATTAAAACTCTTTTGACTTGTTTGGCTCAGCTGGAAAAAATGTAAAGGTGGTTCATGTTTTTTGTGAAGGAAATAAAGTATGCTTTTGCTTTATATATTAAGTTGTACCCTTCGAAGTGCAATTGTGTAAGATTTTCCATTAAATAAAAATTTTAGGTAGGGTACTCCTTACCCACTGATTTTAGTAAAAAACAAAACATAAATGTTATGTGGTAGACTCTCTAACAGCTTATACTCACGTCAACTCTAGATGAGTGTGGTAGACATTCCTTTATACTGATGATTCCTAATAATGACTTTTCCCTAGGGTTGTCTCCAATTGGAGTTATCTAATAATACTCATAGTGTATCCTCTGAGTTTACATATCTACGATAAATGGTCACCTACGAGGAGAAACACTATAGCAAGTGTTTCATCGTCCTCACATCGCTAAATTGTTTTTCCTCATAAATCTAAATTTGTGTGTTTGATATAAATGCATACAGTTTTTTGGGCAGATGTGCCTAAAACCTGCGTGTGACCATATATCTTTGAAGTTAAACGAATGCATGCATACATACATACTTATCTATCTATACAGGAAGAAACTAATATCTACTTTTTCTCTTTTATACAAAGTAACATTTTAAAAAAAAGCCCCATCATGGGTTACATCCCATTATACCAATCACAAAAAAGGAACAAAAAAGAACACTTGAAAAATTTGCAATCCACATAATGGTCCTTGGCTATACATACAATAGATATTTCAGTTCAATGATTTCAATAAAATTATCTAGCATGGAAAAAAATAAAAAGAGAAAAAAACAATTCAAGAATACAATCTATTTAGGAAATACAAGGTTTAATATTAAAACAAGAAATATCATATTTCATGACTCAATATACAAAAGCACCATTAAGTCCATTCTTTGAAGTTAGATAAGAAAAACTATTACATAAAAAGAATACAATTTGAACTAAACTATGTTCTATTACTTGAGACAGTGCGTAAAGTTGATTCTAGAAAGAATACGAAAACAATCTAAACATGATAACAGAATTGACCAAAACATTTGATACATAACATTACTTGAGAACTTGACAAAAAAATTTATTTTCATCAACTAAGAGCTCACTAGTCACCTTGAAGAACCAGCAGGCTTCAAAGATTTAGAACGTATGCGACATCCAGTTTAACCTCTAGATATACCTTCAAAATTCAAACCCATAAGAGCTATAAGTGCATTTGTATCAATGGAGAATTGCAGCCTCATATGGGCAAAGAAGTGTAAGAGCATCTCTATTGTAGGCCAAACACCTAAGCAGCACACTCCAAAATTCTTCCAAGTAAACATTTCCACCCTTCCTTGTCACAGATAACCTTGTCCCGAAACAAACCCCGACTAGTCGTTGCCACAAGTAATTTCATAACATCATCCCTTGACCTATGAAATCCATCCATTAAAATGGAGAAGTGGACTTATTTGCTTCACACCTTTTTTCTAGCATTTCCCCCAAAACCCTAAAACCTTCACTTCCCCTTCCAGTGATAGAAAACCCTTTGATCAATATATTGTAAGTGAAAACATTAGGAGCGCACCCTTTCTCAAGCTTATTATCCCATAATCTCCCTACCTCTTGCAACTCCCCTTTCTCACACATTGCTGATATAAGTGTATTATATGTCAAAATACTTGGCAAAAACCCTTTCTCAAACTCATTGAAAAGCTTCCTCGCCTCTCTATATTTCTCACCCTTACAAAGCCAATATATGAGTGTACTATATATAGCATTATCTACGGTGCAATTCCTCTTCAAGAGCTTCTTCCATAACACACAAGCCTCATCAACCTTGCCTTCATGACATAGAAGGTCAACAATTTTGGTAAAAATAACAGCTACTCTAAGGCAAGCTCCAATCTTTAAATACACATTTCCCCTAAATCCTATGGATAGCATAACCTAGAATGACAAAATGGTAGTATTGACATATTTGAAGTTTATAGATTATGTGAGTAGTCCTTGCTTTTTAATCATAATAAAAATTTAACATGCCAAAAGTTATTCTATTAATCATTAATCCTAAGACAACATGAAGTTAAGATGATTGCTCTTAAACAAATGAAATCTTAATATACTTAAATCATGCACAAAGGTAGGAAAAAGTCATACCTTGCAGTCTTTTAGTGACCGACTCACAGTCATACCCTTTCATCATCGATCCATGTTGTCCTTTCTCCATTTTGTCTCTAATTATGAACATACTCATGGCCCAATCTATCCTAATGAACCTTTAGTCTTGTTTGGGAATACCTCCGAACATTTTTCTAGTGTATCCCAGAACTTGATCAAATATAGGATCTCGGGTATCAAGCTAAGTGATCAAGGTTTAGAGGAGCTTTACCCATTATTCCCACTGACCTAATGCATTCCATGATGTCTGAAAAGACATATCAATCCATGTGCCTCAATGGAATCGCACTAAAGTGTAATATACCTTTATCTAGCCTACTCTAGGATGTCATATACACAGTTTTCTGGTTTTTCAAGTTGAACATCATTTGATTCTTGGGTCATAACTTCAAAAATACATATCATTTGCTTATGATGGATTTTCATACTTAGAGTAGATTTAAAATGAATCAAGAAACATTAGGGCAAAGCACAAAAACATTTAATCAAATGGGTCATAAGTATCCTGTCATTCAGAGGGCAATTTCTAGATTATGTAGCATAAAATATAGGTTGACATACCTCTAACAAAATAACCATAACTTTCAAAATATAGAAAATTTTATCATGAGACTTGGTTTTTTTGAAAGCTAGACTCATTAAGTATATTAAGATTTCAGTTGTTTAAGTACATTAAGATTTCATTTTTTGAAATCTAGACTCATTAAGTGGTAAGTTGTGAAGCGATCTTAGCCATTGGTGCTCCTCATCTATTGCACATGAGAGGCCATGATCCTAGTCACATATCCCCATTAGACCACCTAGATCAATGGATGAGATTTGACATCATTATCACCCTTGTCCCATAAAAAAATTTCACTTCAGTCCATTGTAGAGATTCCAATGGAATTCCAACCACCAATATTCTTCACATGGCAATGGAATTTCAACAACCAACATCATTCACATGGCATAAATATATGGGACAAAGCCACACGAGAAATCCACATGCAAAAATATCCTATATGGATAAGGTTTTTAATTCAAATTATTTCTCAAAAATCCTTCGCATCACACATGCCAAAGGGGGTCACATGTGAGAGATATACGCATGTGACAAATTTCATAAAATCAACTCAATTAGACTAATACCCCATAGAGGTTTACTCTTTCAAAAGGCCATATAGTCAACACTATGAACATTTGAAAATATTAAAAATTGATGGTCTAGACAATGCATTACAAGATGCACTACTTCCAAGACTTACTAGATTCTTTCTTTGAGTCGATGTATCTCAAGGTCGAGATTATTGGATTTGAGGGTTTTTTTGGCATCGAAACACCACTTCTAGTGAAGTTTTAATGAGTGCGTTAGTTTGATTATGTAAGGCCTCAATCTTATAGATATTGTTCCAACCTAGAATCAGAACAACATACTACAAAGTACAATCCAAGTACTATCAACACAAATATATGTGGTTCACCCAAAATCATGCTCCATTCACATGCAACCGGCAAGCAAACGATATTTTTAAAATTCCATGGATCTGCCAACAAAAGAAATTACCAGTATAATCGCACAAAATAGGGCTCAATTGTAGCTAGGATTTTTGCTCAAAATCCCCAATTTCTACCTCACAATATCTCTCTCTCTCTCACACAAGCACTTCAATCTCTTATATTCTTTCTTTCTACAACGAGCTTTGAGCCAATATTTCTTATAAGAAAAACAGCCCACAGCATTGACGGGATTTCCCATGACCGTCCTAAAAAACAAACATACCAGTACCAGAAAAGAAGGGTGACGGATGAGAGGAAATCTTTCGAGGTAACTCCCTCTCTCTCCACAACCACTTTTCATAAGCACTCGTCAAATTCTTATCCTACCTACGCACTCTTCCCATTTATGCAATGCAAACCAACCCAAAAAATTCTTCCATTCTATCTTCCCTCTCAAAATCCTCCATTGAAACCCAAAACTACTATGACATCAATGATGATGCACGGGCTTCGACGCCCATCAAAGAAATGCTTCTGTTTAAACCCCTTTCTCTCTCGATGTTCACTCTTCATAAACATTCAACAGTCTCTCTCTTCATACCTAGTCCCTTGATCCCAATGCTTATCCTGATAAAATAGACCTAAACAAACACAGGGTGACCCCTCCACTCACTCGCTAGCCTCTACAACTCTCACTCAAGAGACTCATAAACATGATCAATCAACAAAAAAATGTGGACCAAGCCTTACAATTCTTCTACTATGCTGGGAAATAACACCCCAATTTCTCGCATAATTCTGACACTTATCACACAATCATTGAGAAATTAGCCAGGGGTAGGGATTTCAATTCCACGGAAATTATACTAAACGGGTTGAACGATTCGAGAAATCAGTGCAGTGAAAAAAAAAATCATCGTTGTTATTCGAAACTACGGCTTTGCAAACAAGCCCAAAATGGCCCTTCAATTCTTTTTCATGATGAGTGAGATTGGGATAAACAAGTCAGTTAAATCTTTTAATACTCTTTTGAATGCAATGATTCACACCAACAGGTTTGATTTGGTTCACACATTGTATAAGAATTGCCAGAAATTTGAGATATTTCCTAATGTTTTTACCTACAATATTTTAATCAGGACTATCAGTCAAACGAATGATGTGGAATCAACTTTTAGGGTTTTGGAGGAGATGCCAAGCCAGGGTTTTGTTCCAAATCTTGTAACTTACACTCTAATTTTAAGTGGATTTGTGCTCGTGGTCATTTGATCAGATCAAAAAGGATTTTTGATGAGATCATAATCCAAGGTTGGGTCCCTGACCGAGTTACTTACACAGTTATGATTGATCGGTTCTATAAAAAAGGGAGATTGATGAGGCTATTAAACTCATGAAGGATATGGAGGAAAATGGGGTTCTTCCAAATTATGTCACTTATGGTGTGGACATTGAATCTTGCTATAAAGAGGGGCGATGTCACCTATGTTGCAAAATTGTTGAACTTCTATGTCAAGAAGGCAAGGTCGATGTAGCTTGTGTGCTATGGAAGAAGCTCTTGAAGAGGAATTTCACCCCGGATAATGCTATATATAGTATGCTCATATCTTGGCTTTGTAAGGGCGGGAAATTTAAAGAGGCGAGGAAGCTTTTCGATGAGTTTGAGAAAGGGTTTTTGCTTAGTTTTTTGACAAATAATACACTTATATCAACAATGCGTGAAGAATGGGGAGTTGCAAGAGGCAAAGCGATTATGGGACGATATGCCTGAGAGAGGGTGTGTTGATAGTATTTTCACTTATAGTATGTTGATCAAAGGGTTTTCTATCACTGGAACCATAAGTGAAGGTTTTAGGGTTTTGGAGGAAATGCTAGAAAAAAGGTGTGGAGCAAGTAAGTCCACTTATGCCATTTTAATGGATGGATTTCATGGGTCAAAGGATGATATTATGAAATTACTTGTGACAACGACTAGTCGGGGTTTTCTTCTTGATTTGGATTTATGGGGTGTTTGTGGACGAAGTTATCTGTGGCAAGGAAGGGTGGAAATGTTCACTTTGAAGAATTTTTGAGTGTGCTGCTTAGGTGTTTGGCCTACAATAGAGATGCTCTTACACTTCTTTGCCCATATGAGGCTTCAATTCTCCATTAACACAACTGCTCTTCTAACTATCATATGTACTAGATCTCTGAAGCCTGCTGGTTCTTCCGATTTAGTTGATCATTAAAGGGGACTAGTGAGGTCTCAGTTGATGAAAATAAATTTTTTTGTCAAGCTTTCAAACAATGTTTTGGTCAATTGTGTTGTCATGCTTAGTTTGTTTTAGTATTCTTTCAAGAAGTAACTTTATGCATTGCCTCAAGCAATAGAACATAGTTTATAAAGAATGGACTTATGGTGCTTTTGTATATTGAGTCTTGAAATATGATATTTCCTATTTGACTATTAAACCTCGGGTACTGGGTCGAGGTAAAACACAAGAGCCTCCATCACTGATGGTGAAGACTAAGTAGGGTCAGCCACATGAGCAACTTAGGCTTCTACTCTAACTCTACCGCTGGTGCTATTTCCTCCGCCTCCACAAGCTGCGAATTCTTTGTAGTAACGCGGGATTCCATTGCTTATTAAGGCTGCTTAGGGCTCATTCGACTTGGTCTTCATGCTACCACTGACCAGGTAACCAACCACTCCTTCCCTTACTTATGTGAACCTTGCTTTTTTGCTTGTCCTTGCTTCTCCTCTCCTTCGTACCTTGCAAATATTATACGAAAAAGCTGTGCTAGTAAAAGAGTGAGAGGCATAAGCAAAACGTAGTGAAGGTATACTGGTTGGCCTAATGTAAGTGAGCGAAGCGCAAGCGTCTTTCTTCGCTCAGGTAGAAGGAACAAAGCGACATAGAAGGCACAAAGCGTAGGAAGGGAGGAGTTAGGGTGTTGATGCCCTAAACTAACATTAAGTGAGCGAAGTGAAGCTATAGTGGAAGCAGTCAATCTTTCCCTTAGCTCTATCGAGCTAAGAGACTTCTACACCTTAGATCAACTTTTCTTTGGCTTAGCTTGGTCAGTGTAAGCCAATACTTACAGCTTTCTTGTCTTTGCCTCTTGAGCTCTACACCTGTTCTTGTCTTTCCATAGCTTAGTCAGCTAAGCCACTTCTACACTTTTCTTGTCTTTGCCTTTTGTTTCTACACATGTTCTTGTCTTTTCGAGCTTAGTCAGCTAAGCCACTTCGCTCCTTAGCCTAAAGGCATAAGCTACCTAGTAACCTCTTCTTCTCCACTCTGTCTTAACCTCCTATTTTACTATAAACCAGCAGCTCCACTAGTCAGTGAAAGGCGTAAACAAAGCAAAGAATGTGTCTTGCCCTAACGTAAGTGAGCGAAGGGCAAAGCTGGAAACCGTTGAAGCTAAGCAACAACGTAACGAGCGTCAAAGCCCTCTAGCGAGTAAAAGCACTCGTAAGCGTACCAAGCAAAGCCAAAGCAAAAAAGAACTCCTAAGTATACCAAGCAAGATTATAAACTTTCTATCATAGCTTAAAAAGCTAAGGTGTAGAAGTAGTTGTAGCTTCGTACCTTGCTTCTCCTTCTACTTGTTCGCTATCTTCTACTTTCAATTCTGTTATCATGCTTTGTTTGTTTTAGTATTTTTTCTATAAGTAACTTTATGCACTGTTTCAAGCAATAGAACATAGTTTAGTTCAATTTGTATTGTTTTTATGTAATAGTTTTTCTTATCTAACTTCAAAGAATGGACTTATGGTGCTTTTGTATATTGACTCATGAACTATGATATTTCCAGTTTGACTATTAAACCTTGTAGTTCCTATATAGATTGTGTTTTGGAATTTTTTTTTCTATTTTTATGTTTATCCATGCTAGAAAATTTTATTGAAATCTTTGGACTAAAATATCTACTGTATATCTAGCCAATGCCCATCATGTGGAAGCAAATCTTTCAAGTATTCTTTCTAGTCCCTTTTCTGTGATTGGTACAATGGAATGTATCCCATGATGGGACATTTTTTTTAAAACGTTACTTTGCATGAAAGAAGAAAAGGAGATTAGTTTCTTCCTTTATAGATAGATAAGTATGTATATATGCATGCATTTGTTTAATTCCAAAGATATATGGTCACACATAGGTTTTAGGCACACCTACCCAAAAAAATATATGCATGCATATCAAACACACAAATCTAGATTTTTGGGAAAAAACAATTTAGCAATGTGAGGAGGGTGAAACAGTTGCTATATGTAAAATAGCAAGTGTTGCTCCACCTAGGTGACTATTTGTCCTGGATATGTAAAACAGGAGGATACAATATGAGTGTTATTAGATAACCCCAATTGTGGAACACCCTAAGGAAAAGCCATTAATTGTTAGGAACCAGCAATAAGAAGAAATGCCTACCACCTCATCTAGAGTTGAGGTAAGTATAAGTTGTTAGAGAGTCTACCGCATAAGATTTATGTTTTACTTTTTACTAAAATCAGTAGGTGAGGAGTCTCCTACCCAAAATTTTTATTTAATGGAAAATATTATACAATGACATTTCAAAAGGTACAATATAATATATAAACCAAAAGCACACTTTATTTCCTTCCCCAAAAACATGAACCACCTTTTCATTTTTTTCCATCTAAACCGCACAAGTCAAAAGAGTTTTAATAGCCATTCTCCTCCAAAGAAGTGATGGATTATGCCATTTTAATGGATAAGTTTCATGGGTCAAGAGATCAAATTATGAAGTTACTTGTAGCAATGACTAGTCGTGGTTTTCTTCTTGATTTGGATTCATAGGGTTACTTTGTGGACAAAGTTATCAGTGATAGAGAAAGGGGGAAATATTCACTTGGAAGAATTTTGGAGTGTGCTGATTAGTTGTTTGGCCTACAATTGAGATGCTCTTACACTTCTTTACCCATAAGAGGCTGTAATTCTCCATTGACACAAATGCACTTATAACTATCACAGGTTTGAATCTTGAAGCTACATCAATGAGGTGAAAGTGGATGTCGCATACATACTAAATCTCTAAAGCCTGTTGGTTCTTCTGATTCGGCTGATCATTGAAGGTGATTAGTGAGATCTCAGTCAATGGAAATAATAGATTTTTTTCAAGTTCTCAAGCAATATTGTGTATCAAATTTTTTGGTCAATTCTGTTATCATTTTTATTTTGAATGAGTATTCTTTCCAGAGATAACTTTATGCATTGTCTTGAGCAATAGAACGTCTTTTAGTTCAATTTGTATTATTCATGTAATAGATTTTATTATCTGATACTCAAAGAATAGATTTATGGTGCTTTTGTATATTTAGTCATGAAATATGTTCTTTCCTGTTTGAATATTAAACCTTGTAGTATCAGTGTTTCTTCACATGGACTCTTGGATCATTGTCAACACCCCACTGATTTTGTGGATGTGCTCGGAGATGGGTATTTGCTCAATGGTATTAATTTCTATAAAAAAAATTCCTAGAAGGAAACTACATGCAATATGGGATTCCTTTTATGCATGTATTAACACTTCACTGTAAAACATAACTGCAACCCATGTCTGGTACAGTGTTTTAAAATCCGGCTGCATCAAGCTCTATGTGCCACCCAGTGCATCACACTTTCCTGCATATACAGTTTTGAGATACGCCCACATCAGATCCGCCTCTCGCAACATCAGGCCACATAATTTCTCCACCATTTTTTAAAAAATTGTAACCCTTACACAGGGGCAAGAAGGTCATTTTGTCTTTTGAAAATGGGGGGAAAGGGTTTGGCGAGGTACTAAACCACCCAAACAACATTTTTCAGCCACATCCGTTGCTTTTATTGGAACGATTGAATCAAAAAAAAATTTTAGCCAGAAATTTTTTTTGTTGAAGTTCTTCGATTTGTAATACAAGACAATACAAACTAAAAATCCATGAATATTAAAAGTTACAAATCAAAGAATTTTTCCTAGTACTTTTCAATTAAAATTTGTAACTTTAAAATTTTTTTGAACTAATACAATAAAATTTGTAACTTTAATGAGTATTGGAAAACTTTTCAGAGACGTGGCTCTACTGCAAAGAGATGGAGAGGTAACAATCCAACCCGCTTATCATTATTCAAAATCAGAGAGAGAAAGAGAGAGAGAGAGAGAGAGAGAGAGAGAGAAAACCTTAAAGAATGCAAAAGGACCCTGGAGGGGGGGGGGTGAGAGGTAAGAGAAGCATGTACTAAGCCCAACTGCATGCTACATAGGATTCCTATAGGCCCTATTTCACTTGCCATGAAAATACTTAACAAAAACCCTTATTCACACTCATCAAAAGCTTTCCTCACCTCTTTAAGTTTTCCACCCTTATAGCATACTATATATAACATTATCCGGGGTCCAATTCCTCTTCAAGACCTTCTTCCATAGCACACAAGCCTCATCAACCTTGCCTTCTTGACATAGAGGGTCAATATTTGAGCAACAAAGGGTTGGGCATGGTATAAACTTCTTCCTGAGAATTTCATTCAAAATGCTTAAAGCCTCACCTGATCGCCCCTCTTTACAATAAGATTCAATGACTACACCATACATGACATCATTTGGAAGAACCTCATTTTCGTCCACATCATCCATGAGTTTAACAGCCTCCATCAATCTCTTTTTTTACAGAACTCATCAATCATAATTGTGCTAGTAACAGGGTCAGGGACCCAAACTTTGCTTATAATCTCATCAAAAATCATTTTGCTCTGATCAAATTACCACGAGCACAAAACCCACTCAAGATTGTAGGGTAAATTATAGGGTTTTGAACAAAACTCTGGCTTGGTATCTCCTCCAAAACACTAAAAGCCGATTCCAAATCATTCATTAGAAACAAAGCCTTGATTAAAATATTGCAGGTAAAACCATTAGGAAATATCCCAAATTTCCAGCAACTCATACAATTTGTCAACCAAATCAAATCTTTTGGTCTAAATCATTGCATTGAAAAAAGTATTAAAAGACCTATATGACTTGTTTATCCCAAACTTATTCATCCAGAAAATGGATCGAAGGCCATTTTAGGCTTGTTTGCAAAGCCATAGCTTCGAAGGAAAACTATGAATGTTTTCTCCCTGCATTGAATTCTCAAATCCTTCAAACCATTTAGGATAATTTCCATGGAATTGAAATCCCTAACCATGGCTAATTTTTCAATGATTGTGTGATAAGTGTCAGAATTATACGAGAAATTGGGGTGATAGTTCCCAGCATAGTCGAAAAATTGTAAGGCTAAGTCCACATTTTGTTGTTGATTGATCATGTTTTTGAGCCTCTTGGGTGAGATTTTTAGAGGCCAACAAGTGAGAGGAAGGGTTTGCTTAAATTTATTTTATCGGGGTAAGTATTGGGATCAAGGGACCAGGTATGAAGAGAGAGAGATTGGGTCTAGCATACCTTTTTTGAGTAGCCAAATAAGCCTGTTGATGGGCTCTTTCGTTTTTCTCTTTAGCTCTATCATTCTCTTCCATCCTAAGATGTCTTCTTAAATCATCAAGGGTATGGATGGTACCATTGTGACGCAAGTTTTTCTTAAGGTCTTTCCATGAAAAAGAGAGATTTTCAATTATCTTCATGATTTGATGACACTCAGATATGGGTTCTCCATATCCAGCAAGTTAGTTAACCATAACAATCTTGTCATCAAAAAATTCCAGCACCAATTGGTTCTCTCTCATTTTATGTTGGTTATATCTTTCATAAAGTTCGTGTTTTGCCATATAATTGTCCTCAGTGTGCCTTTTCTCAATAGCCTCCCATAAGTCTTTAGCATTAGTGTAGGGTTCAAAGACATTATGCAATCTATCACTAAGGCAATTCAAAATGGCACCTTTACATGTAAAATTATCATTTTTCCATTTCAAGTATCTTTGTCTCTCTCTAAGTGTGGAGTCATCATCAGGTTCAGTTATGATTTCTTCGTCAAGTACATACAACAAACCCATAGTATGCAACAAATAAGACACTTTACTTTTTCAAAGTGAGAAATTATAGCCATCAAACTTATCAGTCAATACAGCTCTAGGATTAGCCAATTTCGATACAAATTGAAAACCCGCTTTGATACCAATTGCTGGCCCAAATACAATGGATCTTTAAGATTTTTAGAAGTAAATAGAGCTATATCAACATGCAAGATGGGTTTTGAACTCAATCAGAAATATCCACAAACATATGGCATGCTATTCTTATCAAAATACCCACAAGAAGTTGCTGTAAATTGTACAAATATCCATAAGCTTGTAATCCACTAAAGAATCTTCAACCAAAAATCAATTGCAGCTATTGATAAACTCTTCTAAGCAATCCAAAAGAAATTTCCAGCAAGCATGCACACATTAAAAATCATTCCAACGATATAAGAAAATACCCAATAACTATTTTCCTTACTCATAGAATACTTCCCAACCTTCTTGTAGTATTTTTAGATGCATAAGATAAAAAAGAAAGTTGGAACAAACTCACCAATTCCTATGAATTTGCAGGTACAATTTGATAGCCTTTTAGAGAGAGAAAGTGGCTGAAAATGAGTTTTCTTGCAAGATATAACCCAAGATAAAACACAACTTTTCTGCAAACAGTTGTTAGCAACAATATATATATATATAGAGAGAGAGAGCTCCTTCGAGATGCAACATGGTGCTTGGATTGATCTTGTAATTCTAAAGGGTTCTCACAGAGATGGGACGCACGTCCCTGCACTCAGCTCACCGGGACGCAAAAGAGAGAGAGAGATTTTAGGGAGGGAAGGAGAGCTCGTGTATGGTGCCTCAGCCTCCCAAAACCCTTTCTATAAATATAGCTACAAAATAGAGAAATTGATAGACACATGTAGAGAGAGAAATGACAAGTGCTGCCTCTTAATGGACACTTGTCCCTCTCTTCACATAAGTCTTTCTTTCTCTCTCTACACAAAATACTAACTTATCTAAAAAAATGTTTTAAGTGGGGTAGTAAAAAAAATAAATAAATCAAAATTTTTTGGGCTCTGATTTTGTAAATATTGGGAAACACAATTTTCCTAAGATATCCACGATAAATTTGAAGGTCCCAAGACATATTGCGATCCTTCTAAATTTCCGATTGAATGATTAAGGGCAGGTGGCTTGGATATGTTCATGTTGTCAAAAGAGTGAATCGGTACTGATTCTCATGTATTTGATTTGGTGAGCCACCTAATATTCCAAATGAACTTATTTGTTGCTGCCTCTGAAAATGTCCATATTTCTGCCCTTGGGAGTTGCCGCGGCGTTCAAAATCTCTCCTCTTCCATGGTTTCCTCTCGGATATTAGAGTTCCCTCTTTTGTATTTCGCATGTTCTTGCCCAAGGTGTGTGGGTTTCGATTTCTGGACATCTGATTGTAGGCTTTGAAGAGTGTCCCAATGCTCCTTTGTATTTTTAGCGCCCAAAACTTGAGGTAATTGCTTCAGGAACAAGGGTAGCACTTAGCCGTCTAATAAGTTACTGATCGGTGGTGAAACACTCATGATGTATTGGGTTAGTGACTTGCATTATCTCTTTTGTTCCCTCCTTATTATCAATCATTTGCTCAAGAAATCATGGAGATGCAAGTTCATACCCATTTAGATGTCCCACCATTTGTTAGCAATTTATGATAGCAGTAAATTGATCCTTCCAGAGAAGAAAATTTAAAGGATCTAATAATGCTTACCATATGTGGCTGCATTGAAGGAGAGAAATGTGCATTAAAGGGTGGAGTTTGATGTGAGGAAGATGAAACTCCATTAGAGATGAGAAGGGATTTAGAAGAAAATAAAAAGGGAAATGAGGTTCTATTTTAAGAATCATTTTTCAGAGTAAAGGACTTTGGCCGAATTGTTTTTCAAAAGAAAATGGTATTAGGGTTTCGAGGTGAAAGACTGATCAATAATTGGGGCAGGTCTTGACAGAGAGAGAGAGATTTGGCTTTGGCTTCAGTTTTTTGGGAGAGCACTTCATGATTTTGGGAGAGCCCTTGGTTCGGGTTTTAAGGAAAAAAGAGATTGTTGGTTAGGTTTTAGATGGAGAGAGAGAACGATCTTTGGTTCAAGATACGAAAGAAGAAACATGAAGATCTTTGCTTTTTGAGAGACGTTTTTCATTTAAGAGAAGTAATAATTAAAGAAACGAGCAATGACAGTAAATAGGGTTTTAGGGAGTGCCAAGATATTTGAAACAAATGATACCTCAAGGGAAAAAGAAATAATGCCATGAATAGATGATACCTCTCGAGGCGAGCAATCTTGATCGATCTCTTTAATACCATGTTAGAACTTAGAGAAAGAAATTTTGTGGATGGTGAGGGAACGAGTAAAGGATGACCCAAAATTAGGGTTGTTTCTGCATTACATCTTTAAATACAGTAGTACAACATATTTAGTTATTTACCATAGGTTACCATTATGTTACACAATATTACACAAATGCTATAATGAAATAGAAACAACGCATACAACTGGTCGAACAACCTTCTAGCCTCTTTCTTTCTCTCTTTCTCTCTCTCTCTCTATATATATATATATATATATATATATATATATATATATTTAGTGTAGTATATAGTTAGTAGTAGTAGTTAGTTAGTTAAGTTAAGTTTAGTTTACGTTTACTTA